TGTTGATCCCCATTTTCTCACCTGATGGCCCTCCTGCGACTGTGCCTGTCTTAGGTTGTTCCTCCCTTGAGGAATCTTACCCGTCTCTGGCTAACCAGTCATCTTCCGGGGCCATACATGGGCAACTCAAATTTGAATTGGTCAAGCCTGAACTTTAATATTCTACTGCTCCCTTACAAATGGCTATTATATTCTTCCATATGTTTACTTAGGTCACAAACCTTGGAGCATTCTTATACTTCTCTTTCCCTCACTCCTCACATCCATTTTATAAGTATATCTTGTTAGCTCTGTCTTTCAGTGTAAATAAGACCTATAATTTGACTCTTCTACCATTTTCATACCACCTTCAAAGCCACCAGCAGTTCTCGCATGGATTATTGCAGTCACATTCTAAATGGTCTTCCTACTTCCATCCTTGCCCCTATGCAGTATAGTCTAAATAGAGAAGCCAGAATGATCTTTAAAAACGAAAATTAAATCACTTCCTGTCTCATTTGGAGTAAATCCCAATTCTTTTCCTGGCTTCTAAGACCAAAGCTCCAGACTCCCTCTCTTCTCCCCCCTCTAGCTGTCCTTAGCCAGTACTCTTCTATCTCAGGGCATTTGCACTGAGAAATAGTTCCCATTTTCTTTCGCAGATATCTGCATGCTTAGCACCTTTGTCTCTTTCAGATTTCTGGTCACATGTCACCTTACCAAAGGGGTCTTTTCCAGTCACCCTATTTGGAAGAGCAGCTCTTCATATCTCCTGTTACTGTGTTCTTACTGTACTTTATTTGTCCACCTCCTGACCGTGTTTACTTATTGTCTGTTATCCCACCTGGATTATAAGGTCCATGTTTTGTTCACTGCTCTATCTCCATTGCCTAGAAGAATGTGTTACAAATATAGATACTCAAATATTGTTGACAAATAGCTTCAGTTGTAGGGCTATAGAGAGTGTCATTTTCAAATTACATGTTTTATCCTCCTCTTCTGACTATTCTTGAATCCCTCTCCTGGCTAGAAACCATGTCCAGTCATTTCATTAATGTCCTCACTTAGCCTATCATGTCAGTTCTCGATTCTCTTAACATCCCCTACCTCACCTGCTTCTCTGGTTTTGCTCCTGGGTGTAGAGGAACTTCAGAATGGTGTCTACCACAAATTCATGCTGGTAGCTCTTGTTCTCTTTGATGATTCAATAGTATAGTTGCCATAACAGCTATTCTGTGGATTTTCCTCTCCTGAACAAGTCTACTTCTAGAATTGTTCTTTTAGATTTATAATATTATAATAATAATTTGGTTGATGATAATTTTGATAGATACATAAAATGTGATACTTTGCCTTTTTGAAGGAAGTTGTGCTTATTCCTTTGAATATCAGAGTATGAATTATAGCAACTTGAACAAACCCAGTGAAGTTTATCAGCATACAAATAAGAATGATTTTCTTTTTCACAGTCCTGGAAGATACTGCTCTTTGGTGCAATAAACTTAACATGTACGGGCTTTCTGCTTATGTGGTGCAGTTCCACTAACAGTATAGGTATGTCAGCCTTCTTATTTTTATGGAGTTAATTATTAGTTTCACTGTTATTATTCTGATTTTAAATAAAGGTATGTCTTCCTTTACATACAATATATTATTTTGAAATATAGCTCAAAAGATTTAAGTGAGAGAGTCTATTTGAAAAATGCCTTGTAAACTATGAAGTGTGATTAGGCATTATCATTTTAAATGACTTTAAAAAAAATTTTAGATCTGTTTGAAAAGCTGAGATTCCTTTTTTTTGTGATAGATGAGTACTTGAATTTATGCAGTGTTTAAGATTTTGAGATGTATTGATTTTCCTTAGAAACGGAAATCTGTAATATTTTTCTTGTGTCTTGACCTCTTACATTTTTATGTACCACTATTTTTGTCCTTCTATTTAACAAATACATTTAAAATAGTACTTACATGACAGAAGGCAAAAAAAAAAATGATCATAGGGCTTTGAGCATATGCTGCTTCATTTTTCCTGACGGAGAAATCGGATTCTAAAGTAAGCTTTTGTACTACCCAACTTTGGCTACATGTATTACTCAAATTTACCAGATAATTGCTAACTATGAGGTTAATCAGTAACTTACAATTTTTTTAGTAAAGGATGCCCCTGATGTGAATAATTTTTGTGATTTGCTAATAGTTCCTAACAATTGATTCAGTAACATTTTAAGCACTCTTTTTGTTTTGCAGCTTTAACTGCCTATACTTACTTGACCATTTTTGATCTTTTTAGGTAAGTTTTAGAAAATCTTAGTGTTTTGAGGCTAATAAGGAATTTGTTACACTGAACTTATGAAATTTTCTTTGCTTAAAGAAATCTGTAAAATAAGTAAAATTATCAACATAGAACATTTACATAAAAACAATAATAATTAGAAGATATTCTGGAATAAAACATTCCATTTATGTAGCAACAGAAAAGATAATACCCAGGCTTAGGTCAGGTGCTTCAGCTGCCTCCCTGTAGGTGAGTCACCTGTGACCAGGGAGCAGGGTCATGTAGGACCATACAGTTCCCTCTGTAACTGTGTGGATGGGAAAAGATATGAGGGACATTGATAACTGAGAAGGAAGGAAGTAATTGAGAGCTGGGGAGACAACCACTTGGCTCCCTACTTCTTGGGACCTTTCATATTGCCATATAAGGTTTATCGAATACTTAGACCTTGATGTCTTCAAGATCTGTGCCATAGTAGTATAAGTAATCATGTAATTTAATCTACTTGATTTAATCAATTTATGTAATTAAATCTCCTTTTCATAAATTACATAATTAAATCTACTTGATTGTCTAAAACAGATTTGTTACCTGAATTTCACACTGTGGGAAGTTGTTTTAGAATGAATATCTATTATTCTACTTGGAAAATGAACATAATTTTATCCCATCTGGACTGTTAAGGTGTTATTAATATTTAAGTTTTAACAAAGATTTAATAAAGTTTATCAAAGTTAAAATTCATTTTTTATGCCTAGAATAAAATATATTATCATTATTATTACTATGTAATTTATTTTTTGCATGCTCAGTTATAAACAGTTATAAACCCTATTTAGGATGGATAACTCAGTGAATAGAGCAAGTATGGGTTTAGGTTTTGTTTACCTGACTTAATTATAATGTATTGTAACTTCTTTCAGTTTTTACACATGTTAAAAAAACTGTCATGTTTCAGGATGCTTATATGATTATATTATAAATCAGAATAATTTACGGAATTGTTCTTTGCAAAAACTGATAATTTTCAGCAGCTTAGAAATTCTGGGAACTCAGTTTCTTTCTGCTTGTTCTCTCACTCTAGTTCTAATGCTAATTTTATTTTCCTTTTTACTTAGTTTAATGACATGTCTAATAAGTTACTGGATAATGATGAGGAAGCCTACCCCTGTCTATTCTTTTGGGTAAGTTCAAATTATTTTATTTTCTGCTAACTTCTTATTATCAAAATAGTAGGTATATTAGGCATTAAATAGCTAGCTAGAGTATTTCTAGAAAATAAATGCAGCCTGCTTAGTAGAATGGGGATCAAATAGTGAAAGTAGATTAATAAACATCTTCCAAGAGGATTCTAAGTAAGAAACATGAATATTTAATTTTAAATCATATTAAAATAAAATTTTCACATTAGATTCTTTTCTATTTTATAAAACAAATGTTATCATAAAATGTTCACATTAAGTTTAATATTTTGGAAATCTCTTATTTTACTTAGAGAAAGTACAAAGGATTTTAATGTAAGTATATCTGGTAGATGTTAAAGTAGATGTGATACAATGCCCTATGACTCTTTATATGTAACTTATAACTAATTATCATAGTACTAGGCCAACCCTATCAAATTTCAGTGACACTTATGCATATCTTCATTTTGCATTAAAATTTCATGTTTGCTTTGTCCCATTGTTTAAGTAAATAAAATCTGATTTTGTTATAGTAATTAGAGTTCCAAAAATTATCTGTGGTAAGAACTAGGTATAAAAATTATGTAATTCAACGATAACATTATTATCTTAAGCCTTATATAATATCATAACTTGATTTATTCATCCCTAGATTTGGGCCAAAATACTTAATAATCTTCCATTGGGAGTACTTGGCAGTGGAGAAAAGTTTTGTTATTTATTGTCAGATGAACAATACTATCTTAATTTTGCAATATACTAAGTTTGCTGGTGCTATTTTTTATTTTTTATTTTTTATTTTTTTTAATTTTTATTTTGGTATCTGCTGGTGCTATTTTATACAGTGGAGCAACAGCCTTGCAGGAAAATAAGAGCAGTTTAATAATAAAAAATTCAACATCTTCATAAAAAATAATAAAGTAATGTAAATGTGATATATTTTAATGCAGTGGTGGAGATATATTTTTATCTTAAGACTGGATTTATTAATAACAATTGACTATCAAATAATTTGTAGTTTTAGAAATTACTAAAAGTTGAAAACTGGAAGGTATTAGAGGGTTTTTAAAAATATATTAGAAAAAATGAATTCCTTTCAAATTCAAGAAAACAACATGAAAGATAATTTAATTTTCTTAAAGAAATTCTTGGACCAAACTAATCCTTCTCCATCTTATCATTCATTGGGATTATATTCTTTTGAACAAAATCCGATTTTATTTACTTAAACAATGGGACAAAGCAAACATGAAATTTTAATGCAAAATTAAGATATGAATAAGTGTCACTGAAATTTGATAGGGTTGGACTATTACTGTGATAATTAGTTATAAGTTACATATAAATATCTATATATGGAAACTGTGATTGAGTCAAGGTTTTAGGTTGCAAGTGACAGAATCGAACTTAAAACTGGTTGGGGGGAAGAAATGGGACTTTGGTCATTTATGTAACCAAAATATGGGAAGACTGAGGTAACTGGATTGGAACACTCAGGGTACTGTCCTCTTACCTCTTAGGCCTGCTTTTCTCTACATGTCAGGTTCAGTTTCTCAGACCACTTTTCACCACTATTCTGGAATGGTAACTCCTTACAAGACCATAACTTGAACCTTCTCATCTTCATCCAAGAGAGCAAAGGACTCCTCCCCAACTCTCATTTCTTAGAAAATCATGATAAAGAACTGTTGATTGGTCCAGCTTGGAACAGATGTTAGTCTTTAGATTAGTCACTGTCGTCAAGAGGTACGGTCAAGCAAGGACATGATAGCTCCCGTTTGGCCCACTTGCTTAGAGTGAATGGGAAAGGAGAGAGCAATTAAATGATAAAACTGTCAAATATAATTTCAGTCAATCACATAGCTTGAAATATCATCTATCTTTAGCAATACCAAAATTCAGTTTTCCAGCCCTGTCTGTCTTGTCTCAGACTAGTTCTTGACAGATTCACATGGTTGTCTAATTGGTATCTGAAATTTAGTCTTGAATTATTGTTTTCTTTCCCCAAAATCTGTTCCTCTGAAGTTTTTCCCATTTCAGTAAATATACTGGCACTCAGTTGCTCAAGCAATATCCTTGATTATTTCCTCATTACCCACATTTATCCATCAGCAAATTAACCTATAGTACATCCAGAATCTGTTCTGACCCCCATTTTCATCTCCACCAGTACCATCCTAACCACGCCACCTTCATTTCTTGCCTTAACCAGCATCCTAACTGGTCCCCATGCTTCTGCTCTAGCCACCCCTATATACCATTCTCCATATAGCAGCCAGAGTGATTTTCCTTTTTAAACTTAAATCATACTGTTGCTCTCAAAATCATCCAGTTTTTTTCTGTCATATATAGAATAAAATTCTGACTCCTTTCCCTAATCTACAAAGCCCTTATATGAGTTTGACCTTGCCTATTTGTCTTCAAGTTACCACTCTCCTTCCCTCTACACACTGACTTTCTTTCTGTAATTTGAACACAATTTATTCCTGCTTTAGGGTCTTTTTACAAGGCCTCATGCCATTATCTCTGTGTGAAATGCTCTTCATCTGATCTTTGCAAGCTTAGTTCTGTATTGTTATTCTGATCTTAATATCACTAAATGCTATTGTCATTAAGTGACTAAGCCCAATCTAAAGTAGATTCTAAAATGACCACCTTGCTAAACTCCTCAAATCAGACTGCTGTAATTATATAGAACTTGGCAGAACTTATAAATTATTTGTTGTTTCCTCCTTTGCAATATAAATTTAATGGTAGCAGAACAAATTTCTTGTTCTAATATTCTTCTGCAGTCGATTGATTTAATGAAATGAATATACCTATATAACTACTATCTAGATTATGGTTAAAACATTGCAGGTCCCCCAAAAGTCTCCCTTCATGTTGAATCAAAGTCAAATGCTTACAGAAGTAACCAATATTCTGACCTCTATCATTGCAGATTATTACTGCCTGTTTCTGAAGTCATGTAAATGTAAGAGTATATTCTGTCATATAGAAGTAGTTCATTCTTGTTCATTGCTCTAATAATCCATTATATGAATATACCACATTTTGTTTAAATGTTGTTGAAAGACATTAGGTGATTTTTAGCTTGTAACTATTATAAATAAAACTATGTACAAACATTGGTGTACATGTATTTTGATACATGTGGACTCATTTGTGTCGGGTATGTATCTTGAGTGAAATTACTCAGAAATAGGATTTCCATATGCTCACCATTAGGAGGTATCGAGGGTTGTTTTACCAATTTACACAGACACTGGCAACGTATGAGAGTTCCTGTTGCTTCTTCTTACCGGTGGTTGGTATTGTCTTTTTGTTTTTAAGCCATTCGAGAATATGCAGTGTTATTGTGGTTTTAAGTTATTTTCTGATAATTGAGCACTTTTTATATGTTTATTAATCATCCAAATTTTGTGAAATGCCTGTTGAAGTGTTCTACCCATATAAAGTTTATACCCATAAATTAGGTGCCTGTTTTTTTCTTACTAATCTATAGGAGTTCTTTATTTATCAGTATCTTTTCCCACTCCCACTTGCCTTTCATTCTCTCAATAGTATTTTCTGATGAATGACAGATTTTTAATTTCAGTGGTAATTCAATTTATCAGTCTTGTCCTTTGTGGTTAGTACTTTTTTTGTACTTGTCAAGAACTCTTGGCCAGCCCCAAGGTCTTAAAGATACTCTGTTATCTATCAGAAGTCTTACTCTTTGACCTTCCACATTTAGGCCTACAGTCAAACTGGCACTGATTTTTGTGTTGGCTTGAGTTGGAGGTCAAGACATGTTTCTTTCTATACAGCTATTTAATTGAAAATTGAAAAACATATTGAAAAAAATTCATCCATTTTCTACTGCTTTTATGTGATACTTCTTCATAAATTGGGTGACTAGATATGTTTATGGACTTTCTGTTCAATTTAGTGTTATTTACTTTTGCTTTAGTACTGTACTGCATTAACTACTACAGTTTTAAAATAAATCTTGATATCTGGTAGTGGAAATCTTCCAACTTTGTTCTTCAGATTTCATCCTTCAGTTTTCATTCACCTTTGCATTTCCATATGTACTTTAATATCAGTTTATTAATTTCCACGGATAACATTGCTGCATTTACATACTTCTTTTTATACTCTTTTATAACCCATTTTTTTCACTTACATCTTTCCATCAGTAAATAATTTGTTATATTTTTAATAATGCATAATGTTCTATTGTTAATTCCAACATTTTTCCTTTACAAACAGCAGTGTGATGAACATATTTAATTATTTTATTATCTTTTCTGAATATAATTATTTTCTTGACAAATGTTAGGCATTTACACTTACCACAAGTATTGAATGCCATTAAAGTATATGTGTGAAAAACTAGATGACTGAAACAACAGCTGCTGGCCTTTAGCCGATAGTGTAGGGATTATAAGGCAAACTCATAATTCACTGCAATTATGTGTGGAAGTGAGAGGCAGTATAATAAGTGGTTAAAATCATGAGCTCTGGAGTCAGAATGCCTGAGTTTGAAACCTGACTCCTCTACTTGCTATTTAGATGATTAAATAGTTACTTTTCCTTTTTATGTTTCAGGTTCCTTTTCTTATTTGAAAAAGTGGATAAAGTAACCCTCATAAGAGTTTGGAGGTTTAGATGAGATAATGTTAAGCAGTTCGACCAGTGTCTAATGCAAGGAGGGTCTGTAAAGTGTTAGCTGTTACTATGATAATGGTTATTTCTAGAAAAACAAGAGCTATAAATGTGTCATGGGAACAGGTACTTCAAAAAACAATCTGTGATGATCATTATTTATCATCATTCTAGAAAGCTGTAGTCTGTTCTGTTTGGCTTATAGTAGGCATTTACATATATTAAGTGAGTGAATAAATGAATGTAAATGTGTTTTAGACATATGGTTTGTGAATTTTGTTGATCTAATTAATTTTCTGATTTCAGATTTGAAAGATTAGAAGTCCTGGCTGTATTTGCTTCCACAGTCTTGGCACAGTTGGGAGCTCTCTTTATATTAAAAGAAAGGTATATTTGTATCTGATGTTACTATCATTGTAAATTCCATCTATGCCATCTTTGGAAACATGAAAGAATCCAGTGAGACATGTCTAGTTCAAAGGGTATACAAATTAAGATGAGCAGTGCTGGGGTTTTCAGAGTATAATTTCTGCCTGTTTCAGACTTTCTCCTCTCTTTTCAACCTTACTTTGTTGCCTTTTTTGATGCTCCCAAATTCAGTCATTGATAGGTGTAAATGAAAGGGATTCAGTTAGACATCTTATAATGCTTAGTACAAACCTATTAAAACAGGTTTGATAGAGAAGATTGACATTATATACTGTAGAGAATCTGTGAGTCTCTGCCTGATCACTGCTGATAACAGTTTTAATCAGGAGATTTCATGAACTTACTGGATTAATTATATTTAATGAATCATTTTAATTTTATAATTTCTAAGGCTTATGTAATACATTCTTTCTTTCTTTTAGTGCAGAACGCTTTTTGGAGCAGCCTGAGATACACACGTGAGATTTTGCTTTGACATAACATATAATTTAACATTTAGTCTGATTACCAGTTATTAATTGGTATATTATTAAATAATGGTTACCTTGAATAATATCAGAGTTCAGACTATAGCAGTATACATTTTACTGATAACTTTACAAATAAAATCTCCAAATCCCAAGATTCCTTTCCTTTACCGTTAACTGTTCCCAGATCCTTATGTTTTTATACTACACAAGGAGGCCTTTTCTACCCAGTCTTCAGGTCCTTTATTATTTCCAGCTTCAGGCCAACACACTAAGCCAGCCCCATCTGGTCTTCTATAATTTAAACTTTCATCTCCCAAATCTTATAGTAGCATCCATTGAAAAGATGGAGCTGTTATTATCTACCATATAGTTGCCAATTCCTATTCTGATCATTTTATTTCAGGACAGTCTGACCTGTCCAGTGTATTGTAACCAAATACTACTAGCATTTATACAAATTCATAACAGCAATTACCTGTTCAAAGATACAATTAATGCTTAGTGTCTTTTTTTTTTGTCCTATGTAAAACAGTAGACAGGACATGGGTTATGAGCTAGAAATAAGATTCTAATATGGCTCTGCAAATACCAAACCATTGAAGTAGACTACTCTACCTTCCTGTCTTTCAGCTCTCCACATGTTGAAACTACATGTCAGTATTACAAAGAAAAAAATAATGGTGAACGTTATGTTGTTCTTTTTAGGGGAAGATTATTAGTTGGTACTTTTGTGGCTCTTTCTTTCAACCTGTTCACGATGCTTTCTGTTCGGAATAAACCTTTTGCTTATGTCTCTGAAGGTATGTTTTTTATTTACCATTAATAAAAAAGTTCAATTCATCTCTCATAAAGAAAAGTCTTGTTTGTTTCATTGACACATTAATCAAGGAGAAAGTTTATCCTGTAAACTACCCCAAAATTCTCTATCGTCTTCTCTAAGTAGGAAATCATAAAACAAAGTCTGATTAGTTTGAGCTTTAAAATAATGTATTACTTAAAAACAGCCAGAACTGACATATTAAATCACATGTGAAGAAAATTACATTTATCAAGTAACATGAAGAAATTTTAGGTACACAGGCATACTTTGAAGATATTGTGGGTTCAGTTCCAGAATACCTCAATAAAGTGAGTTAAAGGAAATTTTTGGTTTCTCAGTGTATATGAAAGTTATGTTTATACTATAGTGTAATCTATTAAGTATGTGACAGCAACATATCTGAAAAAAAGTGTACATTCTTTAATTTAAAAATACTTGATTCCAAAAAATGCTAATCACCATCTGGGCTTTGAGCAAGTCATAGTCAACAATCACCTTAACAAATACAATAATAATGAAAAAGTTTGAAATATTGCCATAATTGTCAAGATGTGACATAGAGACAAAGTGAGCAAATGTTGGGGAAATGGCACTAACAGACTTGCTTGACAAAGTATTGCCACAAACCTTCAATTTGTAAAAAACCTAGAATATGTGAAGTACAATAAAGCAAAGTACTATATAAGTATGCCTTTATAACCTATCTAAAAAAACCTGCTGCAAGTGTTTAAGAAGCATCAATATACTTAAGAGTAGTTGATGTGTTCATTGCAAATAGTTGTATTCTGTTAAATAAGTTCCCAGGAACTTCTCTCTGCCAGTGGTGGGTGGGCATATATTTGAAAGTAGCAAAATTTTATTTCTTTTGAAATACTCTTTTATTTTCAAGTCTTTACAAATTCACACTGATTTTTTCACTTTAGTGGTATAAATTATTGGCATTTTAAAATAATTTCAGTGATTTGGAATCCCACTAATCCATGAAGGGTTAACCACTGATTGATGGAGAAGTGAGGTAAAAACAGAAGTGGCTGTGTGCACATACCCATACTTTGAAGCAAATATAGGTGAGGGTCTTTTTAGATCTCACTAACTTGAGCATCAGGACACTGAAGAGAGGAAAATGGTCCAAAATGCCCATTCCAAGTTTAAACACTTCGTGAGTGTTAGGAAGTATGAGTTTTATATGAATTACAGTTTATGAATTACTGTGTGAACTAGAAAATTAAGTAATCGTATTTGTGACAAGCAGAATTACTTTGAAAAACCGTAAATTATTAAAATATTATAATGCTTATTCTAGAAATTTTAAGAAGGTACAAAGATTTAGAAATGGTATCTGTTTGTAAAGATCAGAAAGATACAAGGAAAGAATACTCTTACTAATCTTTTGACTCAGAGATAACATCCATTAACTTTTCTGTTTTATTCCTTTCATTTTTTTCTGTGCATATATATGTATCTTTTAACATACTTAGAGTTGTATGTATTTACAATTTTATGTCTGGCTTTGCACAGTGAACAATACATCTTGAGTACTGCCTCTCATTAAGTGCTCATTGCAAAAATTATTTTTGAATGCCTGTATAATATTTTGTCATGAATATTTATAAACAGCCTATTACACATTCACACTTTACCTTTTACAAATAATGCTATAATCAGCTTGTTTCAAATTTCTTATAGTCATTTCTGATTCTTTTTTAGGATAAATTCCTAGAGAAGAAATTATTAAGGGGTTTAAAATACAGTATTTTTAAAGTCTTTGATATATATAGCCACATTTATTTCCAGAAAGGTTATCTAGTTTGTATTTTCATTAGCTGGAAATGAAAGTTCCCAGAAACGTCAAGATTTGTGACATTAGTTGAAATTTGAGTGGAAAATAATACTGAGCATTCTCTGTCTGCCAAGCACTAGTCTAAATGCTTCACATAGTATAGCCCATTTAATTCTCCCTATACCATCTGAGGTTAAATCATTGTATTACCCCCATTTTTACACTGAGGGACTGAAGAGATTAAATCACTTGTCCCATACCACACATCTAGTTAAGGGCACAGCTCGGTTTGAAGTCAGGTATTCTGGCACCATCGTCTGCTCTTAAATGCTACTATACCATTTTTGTATAAGGCTTACCAATCTTTTTCACATCACGGTGCCCATAAAAAAATGAAAGTTTCTGTAGCACCCTTGAGTATATATGTAAGAGGATGCTTGAACTTGGAAGCTACTTGTTCAGATATAGTAACTGGCAGGTGTCTGCGTGTAGCCAGATTCCCACCGACCTTCCTGAGACCTGAGGGAATTAATCTTTGGTATACCTATAACCATTCTTAGCACACTGGTTAGGAAGCTGTGCTTTAAAACCTCATATTAATATTAGCAATGACATAGTAAGTCTCTGATTATTTCAGGTCAGCTCTATATTGTAGGTGAAAGTGGTTTTGATTTAGTATCTTAAAGGCATAAGACGAAAAAGTTCTACATTTGAGGAGTAACATGTCCTTTTGTAATGTTACATGGTCATTGCCAAACATTTAAAAAATTCAAGCATTTCTGGTAGTAGTTTATTCTTCTATATAGATAATTTGATTTTTTTCTCCTTAAAGCTGCTAGTACGAGTTGGCTTCAAGAGCATGTTGCAGATCTTAGTCGAAGGTAAGATGTTGCAGGGTTTCCTGATAAACATAATTTTAAAGGACTGCACAAAAAATGAATCTATCTTGGGAACTTAACATTATTTGTTGCTGAGGTTACTACATGAATCTCACAGATCAGATTCTTACTGTCCCTTTGCTTTTTTCTTACTTTTAATTGATGATACAAAAGAGACCTTTATGAGTGAGAGAACTTTGCTTTCTTCTTTGCTTCCTTAAAAGATGCATGATACGAATATATGTCATCTTTTATAAGATTTTCAAAAGTATTACATGAGTTCTAATGAATACTCTTTCTGTTTTTTCACAGCTTGTGTGGAATTATTCCAGGACTTAGCAGTATCTTCCTTCCCCGAATGAATCCATTTGTTTTGATTTATCTTGCTGGGGCATTTGCTCTTTGTATTACATATATGCTAATTGAAATTAAGTAAGTATTTTTTATGGCTGTCAAATGTATTTCCACTCCTGGGGACTGACTGGAGGGATAGGGATTAAACTTAGCATGTTGGCTTATAACCTGTGTAACTTGGTCAAGTCTCATCCTCAAGTGCCTTTCATCTGAATAATTGAGGGGGTTGATTCAGGAAGTATTTTTCACCACCATCTATAATTCAGACTGGAAAACTCACATCTAAAATTCAGCAGAAATTTTTATGTTCTCCACTACTGATCTCATGAGTGAAATTGAAATGACAATAAGGAGGATAAGTCACAACTGCTGTTGCTGAGAGAGGGAAGAGAAGAGGAGTGTAGGTGTGAAACAATTTTTAAAAAGGCAAGCTTTTAAGCTTTAAGCTTAATACATTATGACCTAGGATTCTGACTATCTTTTAAATATTAGTGTTTACTAGAATCTGTCTTTAATTATTCTTCTAACTGTTTTGCATACTCTACTGGGAGATCACATAAAATTGTTTATTTACTATTTCTGTGTGTTTCCCCAACCTTTATTTCTAGTCCAAATCTCTGTTAAATTCCATCCAAAAGGCACATTTTATTGATTTCTGTTCATGTCTCTCTCAACTGAACCTATTTTCCCCTATCCCCCAAACTGTTTTTTCTTATATTTCCCATCTCAGTGAATGCCACTACCATCTATTCCATTGCATCCTTTTAAAAAATTGTGTTAAAACATACATAACATACAATTTACCATTTTAAAGAATACAGTTCAGTGGCATTAGTACATTCACTTTGTTGTGCAACCATCGCTATCATCCATCTCCAAAAGTTTCTCATCTTCCCTACCTGAAACTTTGTACCCTGTAATAACAACTCCTCATTTCACCCTCCCCCCAGCCCCTGGCAACCACTATTCTACTTTGTCTCTATAAATTTGCCTAACTACTTCATATAAATGAAAGCATACAAATTTGCTTTTGTGTGTGTGTGTCTGGCTTATTTAACAATGATATCAAATCTCATCCATGTTGTAGCATATTTCCTTTCTTTTTAAGCCTGAATAATATTCCATGTTGTCTGTACACCACATTTTGTTGGCCTAGTCATCCATTGATAGACATTTGAGTTGTTTCCACCTTTTGGCTATTGTGAATAATGCTGCTTAGAGCATGGGTGTACAAATATTTGTTAAAATCCCTGCTTTTAATTCTTGTGTGTTTATACTTGAAGTAGAATTGCTGGATCATATGATAATTCAGTGTTAAATTTTTTTTGAGGAATTCCAGTGCATTCTTCAATACCTACTTGTCTTCCCTCCTCTTTCTCACCTCTCACCAAGCCAATTTTTAAAAAAATATTATAGTCACCTTGCTGTACATTATATCCTCTCTGGCAACCACTAATCTGTTTTCTTGTTTCGTAAGAGTTTGGTTTTCTTAGATTCCACATATAAGTGAGATTATATAGTATTTGTATTTATCTTTGTCTGACTTAATGCACTTAGCATAATGCCTTCAAGGTCCATTCATGTTGCAAATGGCAAACTTTCTGTCCTTTTCATGGCTGAATAATATTCCTCTGTATTTGTGTATCATCTTCATTTTTTTATCTCTTCATCCATTGATGGGCCCTTGGGTTGTTGCCATATCTTGGCTATTATAAATAATAGTCCTGTCACCTAGTCTTGTTTAATTTTTTAAAATACTTATTTATCTATCCCCTCTTTCCCATTCACATTGCTGCTGCCCAAACTGAGGCCTTTATCATCATTTCTTGGCCTAATTAGAATAGTCTACTTGTCTCTTAATTTTCATTTTTACACATCTCTAGTTACCTACTATTTTGGTACTAATGTGATAATTCAAAATTGCAAGTCCGGACATTATTTTTCCTCTTTCAAAATTCTCCCCTTTGCATATTTGAAAAAATTAAAAATTGTAGCATGATAAAGCCCCTACCAGCCTTACTAGCGGTCCATCTGTCTATACCCAACTATTGTTTTGTTGCTGCACCAGGATTTTCATGCCCTTCGTGACACATGTTTTCACTGCAATATCTTTCTCCCATCATCTTACTTATCTTTGAAGGCTTAGCTCAAATGTCATCTGTTTTTTATTTAGCCTTTCTGAATTGTGCCTACCCTATCAGGCTTGGCATTTACTCCTTTGTGCATCCGTGACACCCTGTAGGACTTCTCCTTTGTACCCAAAGTGCTTTATTATGTTTTTCACATGTGTATTTCCTACTTTGTTCAAAGGCAGGAACTATCTTTTAATTTATGTTTCTATTTCCAGCCCGTGGGAAAAAGTTTGCATGATCAGCTTGTAACCATTGGCATTTTGGTCTGTGCTCTTAATAGAATAGTTTGAACTACTGAGGTGATACTGCACTTCAATCACAACGTTGCTATAACAAATTCTTGGAGAATCTGACCTTGTAAAATTTTTTAGGAATTTTGAAAAATTTTAATAGTAATTATTAGAAAGCTATTGTTTACAGGAAATTTGATAGAGTCACTGATGAAGTCCATTAGTCTCTCTGTATCAGAAATTACTAATTGAGGGTTTCTTTGTTACAACAAATGGATATATATGAAATATGTCTACTTGACAAATTGTTTGGAAATGCATAGTGAGGAAATGCTCACTTTTTTTTTCCTCTTCATCTGTCTTCACACTAACAATCACTAGTTATCTTCCAGTAAACTTTGGCAAGAAAGGATTCTAAAAACTTAGTTTTCCTTTAAAAAATTTTTTCTTTCAGGTTGTCAGTGTGGCCAGTTGTGATAAAACAGTCTTTAGATAATTTGTGTTTGGAAGATTGACTTGTAAGAAGTCCAGTGCAACATACACTTAAAATTTAGAATTGTTTTTTTTCTTTTAGTAACTATTTTGCTGTAGACACTGCCTCTGCTGTAGCCATTGCACTGATGACATTTGGCACTATGTATCCCATGAGTGTGTACAGTGGCAAAGTGTTACTCCAGGTAAGGGACTTCTTTCAGTGCATGTGCTTATTATTAGCCAGGTTCTTCTACCAGATTGCAAAATTGTATGTGTTCTCCTACCAGATTGTAAAATACCTAGCTACTGGAGGCCTTGTTAGGATTGAAGTCAAATGTAATCTCTGAAATTTGTATAGTAAGAACAAGATGAAATTCTACTCGTCCATAAATTAGGCACAGATCTTCTTGTATTCATATTATAAGACAAAATAAAAAGCTAAATTTTTTTACCTCTAATAATGTTTCAAGTGAAAAAAATGTTACTTAAAATTTTTTTTAGATATTCATTTTCCCTTAATAAATGTGCTTTGCTTATTATATAATCTGGTTGATTGTTTTCTTATTTTCTGTTGTTGAATTTTAAATTTAGAATTAAAAGTGACAAATTAGTACTAGTGAAACAATAGGAAGATGTGAATTGAATAGTTTCCTGGGGCTGGGTGTGTATGTAAGCACTGCTTTTCCTTCTCTCTTCATCCTAATGCCTTTTCTAAAACTTAGGTGTGGTAGTAGCTCCATCTCCAGAAGTAGGAATAACAATAAAATAACAGTTGTATACTGCTGTACCCTATGCAAAAGGGTACTCGCTTAAAGATTTTTTGTTGGTTCTTAAGGCTTGTTTGATTCTAAAGATAGTGACTTCTTTGTGAGATAAAAAGCATCAATGGGGCCAGTTGTAACCCCTCATCTTTAAATCATGTTAGGGCACATGTCAAACAAAGCAAAGGCTGGTATAAAAGCCAATTCTTTAAGTTTCAGGACCACTGTTGCAAAAATCTTTTGATCTCTCTAGGTTATTCTTACTTTATTTTTTCTGCAGACAACACCACCCCATGTTATTGGTCAGTTGGACAAACTTATCAGAGAGGTAAGATGGAATAGTAAATAAGATCATTTTAATTTGTAATTAGAGAATGGAAAGAGTGCTATGAAAAATACTTCTATTCAATCTTCCCTAGAATTTTATTTTAGGGGAGTTTGTATTCTTTATAATAGCACAATAAGAGACAACATAGTGACAAAAGTAAAAAAATTTGAGCAATTGCTCAGTTTGCATGCCACATTCACTTGAAATAAGTGTGGAAGGTAATTGTCTAAAGACCCCTATTTGCTGTGTGAATGCTGTGATTTTTAGGATTCTATATTCAAACCTTGGATTTTGATAAAGTGAGAGATCACTTTTACATGTCAATTATTTCACCACTTAACATCTTGATCTGTGAGTTTTAAATTTTTGAATTATATAAATTTCACCTGTTAACTAATGAAGGAATAAGACGATTGAATCATTTGGATGTTGAGAGTATTTTAAAGTATTGGTTGTCAGTATCACAAAGGCTACTTTTACCAATAGAGTTGGCCACTTGTTTCAGCCAGTGAAACCTGAGCCACTGTACCAATGGGCTGTATGCTGTATATCTGGACTTGGAATTTCCTTTTGGCCTACATCCAGATAAAACCCTGTATTGTGCAGAAATTTGTTGAAAGGGAATCCAGAGAAAGAAATGATAGAAGACAAAAAAATCTGACAACACAAGTGCTACATGTAAATATATGCCATAGTGATGAAATAACCATACACTATTGAACAAGGTGGTTAGGGTGGGTGAAGGGGCAATGACCTGATTCTAGAAGGATTGGGAAGACAAGAAACTGGGAAAACAAGGTCTTGGCTCAGTACTGAACAAACAAATGGTATCTCAAGTAGTCTGAAACTTCTCTTGGCTAATGAGTGTCTTCATACAGGATTCACCCTTGTATTTCTAGGCTTAGAGCAAGTCCATAATGTGACTGAACTGTGTTGGATATGTCAAATACACACAACCTTATTTCTTTGTTTTTGATAAGGTATCTACTTTGGATGGAGTTTTAGAAGTACGAAATGAGCATTTTTGGACCCTAGGTTTTGGCTCATTGGTATGTTTCTTACATATTATTTCCATTATAATTTGCAACATAGTTTACATTTTTAAAAACTAGATAAAAGTATTTTCTTTAAAACTTTTATAGAGCCTTTTGATTCCCACTTCTGTTCAATAGAGTAAAATATAAATGGATTTGATAACCTAATTGAGATAAATTGAGGGATTTTTTTTTCCTTTCCAACTATTAATGATTTCTAATTGCTATTTTCATTTCTGAGGTTTTCTAATTTATATTTTTCTTGTTTTGAAAAGGTAGCTTATAGTTCTCATCAGTTTTATAAATCTGGTGATCTTTTATAATATGTTTTGTATTCTCTTTTTTTTTATAATAACTTTGTATGGAGTTTGGATCCAGTCCTTTTCTGTTGCTCCTTTTTATGTAAAATTAGTTTTCTTGAACTTTAAAATTAGGAATGATACAGGGTAGTGTGTCTAAATACATGGTTCTAAAGATCCCTCTTCTGGTGAGTTTGTAGAGTAAAAGTTCTTGCTTTCTCTTGGCTCTGTTCCTTTCCTATTTGTATCTGAACCTTTGTCTCTGCTGTGCAGCTAAATTTGGATTCTGTTCCCAGTTGTTTCTTCTTAATGTGGTGCTTTGTACAGAGGGAGCTTTGCTTGGTTACTTTTGAGAGCCCATTGGGCTTTAAATACTCGAGCTCTTCATATCTTCTTATGCAGACCAGTGTATTTACCCACTATTGAAATGTACAAAATCCCTCCCAGTTTCCCAGCTGCCTTCTCAAATTCACTGTCCTAGATTTCCAGTAAGTACCATTTAGCTATTTTGAGGGTTTTAGGTCAGTCATGTCCCCTTTTGCTTCGTCCTTCACAGATGCTGATACCTTGCAGGTCTTATATTTTGTATTTGGGGCTTCCTAGGGGTGCTGGGTTATATAGTTTTTTGTAGATACTGTCCACAGGCTTTTGGATTTGCTGACTGACTTTCTCTGTTTTTATGGAGATATTTTAAGTTTTTCAAAAAAATGCTGTCACTGCTCTATCTCCCAAGAATCCTAAAATAATTTTTAATGGCTGCAGAGTTTTACATTATGTGAATGTGTCATAATTTATTTAATCATCCCCCAATGGACAAGTTGTTCCCATTTTCCCTACATAAATAGGGCTGTGATGAACACTTACATGGATACTCTTTAGAAGTATTTTCTGTGAATCAAAGGGTATTCACATTTTTTATGTTTTTTGATGCAAATTGCCATAGCAATTTCCAGAAATGGCTGTACCAGTTTATATCACCCTAGTAATGTAGTTTGCTTTTAATTATCTTTTAACTGTACTGATCTTAATCATTTATTTAGCAGGGTGGCTTACAAATACAGAGAATGCAGTCATCTCAGTTACTTAGAACTTGGCCATCTAACAACAGCACCTGTGTAGTGCCTAATTAAGAAAGTAGTAAAACAAGCTTGAGCTGCCAAGAATACTTGTCACAAAAGCCATAGATTAATGCAGACACCATAATTATAGGAGGCTGTGTTTAAGCTCACACTCAGAAATGATTTTCACTTATTTTAATTACTTTGATTTCCATATCACACTGAAAGAGGACCCAGTATCTTTTATAGTTTTTATAGTGACAACTGTGAGATGGTAGTGGCAAAGAAAAGGGAGAAATTAAGATGACTTCATTTCTAGGTATAAGTTGTCTTACCTTAAAGTAATAAATTAGAAGGCAGATTCAAGCAATATAGGTATTTCTCTATCTTATAATTGACAGTAACTGTCTTATTACTGCCCAAGTCATAGTTCTAGACATGTAACCCAACTATTTGGCTGATTTCTGTGCAGTTTACGCTTTGTTATTTTTTTTCTTTTTTGAAAATCTGAGTATATCTAGAAGTCAACATAGAATGTCTGCTGGTATTTTAATTTATTTTAATTAATTAATTATTTTATTTTATTTTATTTTTATTGTTACCATTGATATACAACCTTATGAAGGTTGCACATGAGCAATATTATGGTTACTACATTCACCCCTATTATCAAGACCCCCTAACATACCCCATTACAGTTACTGTCCATCAGCATAGTAAGATGCTATAGAGTCACTACTTGTCTTCGCTGTGCTGTACTGCCTTCCCTGCGCCCCCCCTACATTATGTTGCTAATTATAATGCCCCTTAATTCCCTTCTGCCTCCCTTCCCACCCACCCTCTCCATCCCCGTTCCCTTTGGTAACTGCTAGTCTCTTCTTGGGGTCCGTGAGTATGCTGCTGTTTTATTCCTTCAGTTTTTGCTTTGTTGTTCCCTCACAAATGAGTGAAATCATTTGGTACTTGTCTTTCTCCAGGATATTTTAATTTTTATATACTGTGTATTTTAAAGTTTTTATTATACAAATAATGCCTGATTGTTAGAAAAATTAGAATTTATAACTAAGTCAAAAAGAATAAAAATCCTTTAATAATTCTACCTAGAGATAAGTGCTGTCATTCTTGATATTTTTCTTTGTATTTTAGTCAAAATAGGATCATTGTTATACTTACTATTTCATTGTCTACTTTAAAAACATAACATATGGTAAGCATCTTTTCAAATTAATAACGTACTTCTTACCATCACTGTAATACCTGGTGCCCGCTATCCTCAGCTGGAAACCTAGGAGGTTTCCTAGGCTAGGCTGGAACCTGAAGCTCATCTTTGATGAGTCCATCTCCCTCATCTATTGTATCCAGTTTGTTACAAGTCCATCCGCATGTAACCCATGGAATATCATGAATCTCTCTCTCTCTCTGGTCTGTCTGTATTTGTCCTATTTCAGCCCTCTTCATTTCTAACCTGGACTGTTGGTAGTTGTTCCCTATCTAATTACCAGTCATCCATATCTATAATTTTTCTGCATTCTTCTTATTTTACTTATTTTATTTTGCTGTTAAAACTCTTTATCATGATTTATAGAGCCCTCTGCTAGCCTCTATTTAACCTTATTATGTACCTACCTTCCTTCTTTCTGTATTTTCTTCTTTGTTCCCTCTTTTCCTCCTTCCTTCTCTTTTCCCTCACTTTCATTCTTTTTCTGCTCCCTGAAATATTTGTATTTCTTTATATATTAGTAATATTGCTTATTCTTGCCCAGACATACCATGATTTTAATTGCTGTTCCCTCAGTTTAGAATGTCTGTCTCTTTCTTTTGAAATTTAATTTAACCATCAACTCTACCATCAAAAGTCATCTTTTGAAGTCTTCCTGAATTTGAATTAATACATAACCTTGTCTGGCCTTCTATTGCATGTTTCTTTTTTTTGTTTTTATTAAACTATTGTTGCACTTCATTTTTCATATACTTCATTTATATTCTGCCTTGTGTTATAACATGCCTGTCCTCCACAGACTTGTTTTAAAAAAAAATTTTTTTTAAGTCACAGTTTATTTAAAGAGTCATAAATTATTTCATTAACTCTTTACATTGATAATCACTACGAAGTTATATTTAAGAGATAGCAAGACATTAAGCTTTCTCTTGTTCTAACGAAAATATAAGGTACTGTTAAAACCAAATCATAAGTAAAATGTTCATTTCTAATGGAATTTTTAGTAGTGTAAATCTAAGCAGCCTCTTTCTTATGATTTTGCCCCTTTTAGGCTGGATCAGTGCATGTAAGAATTCGACGAGATGCAAATGAACAAATGGTTCTTGCTCATGTGACCAACAGGCTATACACTCTAGTGTCTACTCTGACTGTTCAAATTTTCAAGGATGATTGGGTTAGGCCTGCCTTACTGTCTGGGCCTGTTGCAGCCAACATCCTGAACTTCTCAGATCATCACATAATCTCAATGCCTCCTTTAAAGGGTACTGATGATTTGAATCCTGTCACATCAACTCCAGCTAAACCTAGTAATCCACCTCCAGAATTTTCATTTAACACCCCTGGAAAAAATGTGAGCCCTGTTATTCTTCTAAACACACAAATAAGACCTTATGGTTTGGGTCTTAATCATGGACACACATCTTATAGCAGCATGCTCAATCAAGGACTCGGAGTTCCAGGAATTGGAGCAACCCAAGGATTCAGAACTGGTTTGACAAATATACCAAGTAGATATGGAACTAACAATAGAATTGGACAGCTAAGACCATGATGTACTGTAATTTAATTAATTTTTATGAGGGATATTGACTCCTTGACTTCCAATTTATTTTCTGATCCAACTTTGCATTGACTGTTCAATCATTTACTCTAAATGTTAGAGAATAATAGACTTATTCACATTACATGAAACCAATGAAACTATATTTTTGTAAAATGTATTTGGGGCAGTGAGAACCTTCTAAATGTTATAGTCTTTAAATAGGCTTCCTTTAGGAAGCATGTTTCTCAAAATTGAATTCTGCAGTCTTCCGTTTTGTGGGTGACTGCAGTGTGATAATGACATCATGAGAGAACCACTTGTGGAGTGGATCTGTCACATTATTAAAAATATAGTAGTTTCTTCAGTGAGATTTATAAACATGCTCCTTGAATAATGATACACATTTTGGGAAAAGAAAAAAATGTCCACTCAAAAAATAAAAGTGTTTTATAGCTTTTCCAGACTTAATTGCTACATTTTTCTTTGAGGTCCTCCTGAAAAGAAAAAGCAAAATCTTTTCATGAGAAATTTTAGAACATCATTTACAATTTCGCAGAAGTCAAATTTTAAATTATAAGTTTTTTAATAGTTTCTCGCATTAAAAAATTTTTCAGTTCATTTGTAAATAATCTGTCGTTTTGAAAGTATTGTATTTTGGTTAGATGAATACCAAAATCCTTTGGTGATATGCAATGGAGGAATCCCAGTTTTCTTACATTTAATCAAACACTGACATAAAGTTATATAATTTATCTTTTTTGTCATCTTTTAATTATCTTTTTTGCCATTGGTTGACTTAAATTTTCATTTTATTAAAATATATCAAATGTATTACCAAAATGCATGGAATTCCATTCATAATATGGAATTTGATATCTTTTCAAAATTGTACAATTTGAGTTTACATTAATTTGGTGAGAAATTGGTAAAATTGAATGATTTTACAAAACGGAATGGATCTTAGAGTATAGAATACAGTATTGTTAGATCTGCAATAGGCAGTTTCTAATTTGTTTTGCTTTGCCAAAAAATAGTGAATTGTTAGCTGTGACTAAATGTGAGAATCATATAGAACATTTTACTTTTTGCTTATTTTCCATATGCAAATGTTAGGAATTTTCCAACCTGGCCAGTATTATTTACAAAAAGTATAAAAAGCAGCAGTCACAAATTACCTATTAGATTTTTAAAAAATTTTATCAGGAGTCTTATAATTACAGCTTTAAAGAAGGATTTTGAGAGTGGATTCACCTTTTCTGGATTTCAGTACTCCTGGACTTTTATGACTTTTCCAACCATCAGCCAGCTATCTAGAGAAGATTTTTGTTTTTGTAGAATTTACAACACTTTCTTCAATCAACACATCCTTTTTAAAATATGAGCAACCCTTCCAAATCTTCATAATGGAATAGCAAACATCCAAGAAGTCATCTCTGTCAAGCAGAATTGTAATCATCCTTTGAAAAGTGACCAAGTTACTTTTACATGATGAGGAGTGGGTCTTTGTTTTGACATCTGTAATCCTGTTCAGCCATCTGGCTTGCTGAAGAAATAGAGCCCACACAATCTTGACTGCTCAGGAAAATGAAACTTCATAAAATGTAAAGCAGTCTGTTCCTTGTCCTTTGTCCTATGTTCTCCAACTATTACTCTACCTATTATTGACCCACTATTACAGACTAATTATTTTCTTCATTGACCTCATTGAAATGTGTATTCAAATCATGCGTGAAATTAGAGGAACTGCTATGCTCTGAGTGATGACTAAGATGTATATCTGTTGCCCTGTGCATCTTCTCCATCCCCATCAGGTTTTTTTAAGTGTCTAGGTATGGAACATAGTTCTGCATAAGGTTAAATACCTACTTCCTTAACCTCCCATTCAGAGGCAACACCTATGCAGTTGTCCTACCAAAGGTGCTTTGATACCCACCTACGCTATTTGAGAAGGTTCCTTTGGGTTTTGAAGTATTGACTGTTTGTGCTGAAATTCAGTAGTGCCAATTGCTGCAGGTGACATTGGTCCATGCGTTACTATATAGAAGTCTTATTTGCCAAGCTCTGGCCAGCTTCTGTATATGAAAAAAGAAACTTGGGCAGCATAGGCCTATTGGCAGTAGCCTTATGAGTAAATGTTACTATGGAGTCACTTTAAAATAGATGAAGGGTGTTTGAATTAAATACTTGGCCTATGATTTATTGTTAAGATCAAGCTCCATGGAGTGTTGAGAAATCACTGTATTGTAATGGAATATGCCCTGGACTGAACTTGGATTCCAGTCATGATGTTGCCATTATGTAAGTAGGTTTGCAACCATGGGCAAATCATCTGTAAAGTTAGTGTGCAGAATGAATTAGTTGATCTGTAAATTATGAGCTTTAAAATGGTATGGCTATATCTACAGAATATATGTCCACTTATTAAACAGAATATTATGCCCAGAATTTCTTTCCAGCGACTACCTCAACATACAGGCCAAGTTTGAGGTGCTCTGAGAATAGAAACTGAGCCGCAGGCAAGCACCATTTATGTTTTTATTTATTTCAGATTTTCCTTAACTTAAATCTGTTTTAGGTTAAATAGATTTTTCTCAGACTTCTTTCTTTGTGGGGAAGGATTATTTTGGGGAGTATTGGAGAAAAGATGAGGACAGAGTACCCTTAGTTTCTATAGGGTACAAAAGAATGGGGTACATTTTTTCTTTCTTAATCTCTCATGTCACAGTTGGAAACACATACTTGTACCAGCAACTGGAGAGGACCTGAATTTCAAGCCTCTGATTTAGCTGCTCATGAACTACCAATTTTTTGCTTGACTAAAGAATGCTATTCTTGGGCATCTGGTCTGCTGCTGCTTATATATGAAAATGTTTTTTACATTCCAAATAGTTTGAATTACAGTTTGAATAAAGAACATACATGAAGTTTTCTCTCTGATTTTAAATAATTTTGGCTTGTTTCTTTATTCAGTAGTTATTTGTTGGTAATTTGATTACCTCATATTCAGCCAATACTTGCTGGGTATCTGTACTTGCCAGGCACTCTACTTAGTAAATGTACATACAGTATCAATTTTTGTGACTTGCTATTCTTGAGACCAAGGGGAACACATGGATTAACAAGAGTCCCCTTCAAGTAGCTGATAATCCTAGTAGGAGTGAGGAGACACAGAACTATTGTACATATCAAATTAAATTCTCTCCCACTTCTTCCTCTTTGGCTTCATTTTCCTGGCATTATCCTCTTTTCCTTCTCCTTTCTCCCTGAATGATAAGAAATATTTCCAAGGAAGAGGGCAGCTAAGGAGATGATGGTGCCACTAACATCCTGATATTAGTAGAAGAAAAAGTTTAGAAGGGGTGAGTTAAGCAAACTGTTGAGGTTACTTTTTAGGTGTATAATGGATTGCCATATACTTTCATGACTCTTGGACTATATGAGCAGAGATTTCTAAATCACCAGGCTGAAAGTAATGGAGTCTCTAGAGCATTTATGGGCTTTGGCTGTTCTTTAAGCAGTTACTAGTTCAAAAACACTTTCAATACTGACACCGTCATTAAATTGCCACCCAACAAGTCTAGCTTCTTGAAAAAAAAAAAAAACTAGATAAATGGCCAAGATTTCTGACTAATGTTGCTTCAAGTAAGAATCTCCGTACTAAAGTAAAAAAACACTAAATGCTTAAGATTAACAAATACACTCATGAAAGCAAGCCACCCATCACTGCTCAGTGTCCCACCAAATCCAAGTGCTAGAAGTTTTTCAGAGGGTTCTTTTCAAAAAATGTCCCTGGGTAAAAAAAGAAGTATGTTCGTTGGAAGCAAAACAATTTTTTAATATTAAAGTATCATTGATATACAATCATGTTGATTTAAATATATAACAGTGGTTCAACAGTTACCCATATTACTAAATCCTCACCCCCTCTAGTGTAGTCACTGTCAGTATAGTATGAAGCTACAAAACCATTAACTGTATTCTCTGTGCTGTACTACTGTTCCTGTGACCAACCTATATTGTGATTGCAAATTATTGTTCCTCTTAATCCCCTTCACCCCCTACCCTCTCCAGCCCCTCCTCCCTTGGTAATCACTAGTCCCTTCTTCCCTTCTTGGTGTCTATGAGTCTACTGCTATTTTGTTCCTTCCATTTTGTTTTGTTTTTATGCTCCACAATTGAGTGGAATCATTTGGTATTTGTCTTTCTCCACCTGGATTATTTCACTCTGGGTCCATCCACATTGTCGCAAATGGGAGGATTTCTTTTCTTTTTGGGGCTGAATAGTATTCCATTGTGTATATCTACCACATCTTATTTATCCATTCATCTACTGATGGACACTTAGGTTGCTTCTGTTTCTTGGCTATTGCAAATAGTGCAGTAATAAATAGGGGTGTGTATGTCTTTTTGAAATAGGGATGGGAGCAAAACAATTTTTAAAAGATAAATGGCCATGTTTGAACCTGTGCTTTGCTTCAGGAAGAAATTAGAATACTCTGTAGATAGGGCTATGATTGTGAATATGGTTCATTAAATTTAGAAATTGTATTTTTACTAACGTGTAAGGGAATCTGATAAATAGTAATTCACAGTAGTATAGCAAATTAATATAAGTGAATTATAATTTTTTCCCTTTTCCTGACTCTTCTAGGAAATGGAAGATTGCTTAAAAACTGAGGTTGAGATAATATTAAATATTCAGTACCTGTTTTCAAAACTGGAAAACTTTGGCAATCATAGGTCATTTCCTCTCTTGGAGAAGCAAACACTACCTAACTATTGTTTCTTTGGGTGTGGAACATTCCTGATTCCAAAACTGAGTAAGTGAGCCTCCTTTAGTATCTCAAGATTTTTTTTTTGACGTCCCCTAGACTCTTCAGGAACTTTTTCCATTCCTTACCAAGTAGAGCTTTCTAAAGTACATCCTGCAAAGGTAAGGTGAATATCCTAGCCATGACCATGAAGTCAAAGACAACACTCTAAGGAATAAAGGCATAGAAATAAGTAGGTTTCTGGGCCTGAAAATCTTCACAGAGCAAAGCCACCCTACTTGCCTGGACTGCTCACTTTTGGACAGTTACAGGAGAGGAAAATAAAGTTTTGTCTTCTGTAAAGCCATGGTGTAGTTGTGTCTCATTACACCAGCATAGCCTGTGCCCAGCCTAACATTGTAGGGCCTCACTTTCTCCTCTCTTCCTCCTCATAAGGAGCCAGCCCTTCTTCATTCCTCGTAAATAGCTTTCTCCTGGCTCTCTCGTATAAACATGTTTGTCTCTTTTCTGTCTCTGCCTCTTTTCCATGTGCTTCCCAGCATGGCATGCCCCCTGTCAAAATGCTCTCTGCCAGTTAGTGTGTCCTAGGTAAGTCTTCTTTCCCAAGAGCAACTTCTTTCTTCCTGGACTAGCAACAGATTTTACCACCTAAAAGGAACTTAATGAGGAAGAATATAAAGCCCATTCCAACCTCAGAGGGTGAGTTGTTTATGCAGGTTATCTCCTAATGTTTAAGAATGATCTCAATTTAATAAAAGAACTTACTGTTTAGGGGGGCAGAGCCAAGATGGCAGCGTGTGTAGGGCAGCAGAAATCTCCCAAAAAGATATATATTTTTGAAAATACAACAAATACAACTATTCTTAAAAGAGAGACCACAGCATTCAGGACAACAGCCAGGCTACATCTACATCTGCATCTGCGAGAACCCAGTGCCTCACAAAGGGGGTAAGATACAAGCTGCCGCGGACCAGCGGGACCCAAGCGCCACCCCTAACCCAGCTCCCTAGTGGGAGGAGAGGAGTCGAAGTGGGGAGGGAGAGGGAGCCCAGGACTGGTAAATAACCAGCCCAAGTCATCCACATTGGGGCGTAGACACACAGTGCGTGAAGTGCTGGATACTAGGGAAACAGCAGTAAAACCTGTGGGTGGGTTCCCACAGCCAGTGCCCCTGGGACAAAAGAAAAGAGAGTGCTTTTTGAAAGTCTTAAAAGGACAGGAGACTCACAGCTGGATGGAAGCATCCTGGCACACTCAGCCCAGCAGCTGGGAATCCTGGGGAACTCTGGGTGCCCTAACCCCCTGGATGGCAGCGAAGCTCTGAGGCCCCTCACGGTGATAAACAGCCTCCTGCTGGCTCAACCTCCAGTGCAGCCCCGCCATAGCAGAGTAGCAGCCTGAGACTGGCCACACCCACAGCAATCATGCAGAACTTCCTCCACAGCTGCCTGGGCAAGAATCAGAGACCCTGTCTGTGTGCAGCTGCCCAGCACAAGCCACTAGGGGTCGCCATTATCCCAGGAGAGGAAGGTGAGGAGCAAGTGGAAATAAGCTTTGTTTTCTCAGCTGACACACGCGCCAACTACCCACGACTAACTCTATCACCATGAAAAGGCAGAATAATTTGATCCAGACCAGAATCACACAGACATGCTCCCCTGAGAGGGAACCTGGGGAGATAGACTTAACCAATCTTCCTGAAAAAGAATTCAAAATAAAGGTTCTAACCATGCTGATGGACTTACAGAGAAATATGGAAGAGCTAAGAAGGGAGAATACAGAAATAAAACAATCTCTGGAAGGACTTAAAAGCAGAATGGACAAGGTGACAGAGGCCATAAATGGAATAGAAATCAGAACAGGAAAGCAGAGAAGCTGATGCAGAGAGAGATAAAAGGATTTCCAGGAATGAAAGAATATTAAGAGAACTCTGTGACCAATCCAAACAGAACAATATTCACATTATAGGGGTACCAGAAGAAGAAGAGAGAGAAAAAAGGGATAGAAAATGTGTTTGAAGAAATAATTGCTGATAACTTCCCCAAATTGGGGGAGGAAATAGTTGCTCAAACCCTGGAAGAACATAGAACTCCCAACACAATGGACCAAAGAAGGACAAAACAAAGACACATAATAATTAAAATGGTAATAAAGGTCAAGGACAAGGACAGAGTATTAAAGGCAGCCAGAGAGAGAAAAAAGGTCACCTACAAAGGAAAACGCATCAGGCTATCATCAGACTTCTCAACAGAAACCTTACAGGCCAGAAGAGAATGGCATGATATATTTCATGCAATGAAACAGAGGGGCCTTGAACCAAGAATACTGTATCCAGAACAATTATCATTTAAATATGAAGGAGGGATTAAACAATTCCCAGACAAGCAAAAGCTGAGGGAATTTGCCTCCCAAAACCACCACTGCAGGGTATTTTAGAGGGACTGCTCTACATGGAAGCACTCCCAAGGCCAAATAGATGTCACCAGAAAAAAATGAAACCACAGCAAAGAAAGCAGAAGAATAAAATACTAACTAAAGGCAAAAAATAGAATCAATTACCCACAAAAGCAGTCAAAGGAAACACAAAAGAGCACAAAATAAAACACTTAACATATAAATAATGGAGGAGGAGGAATAAGAAGAGAGAGAAATAAAGAATCATCAGACTGTGTTTATAATAGCTCAATAAGTGAGTTAAGTTAGATGGTTAGATCGTAAAGAAGCTAACCTTGAACCTTTGGTAACCACGAACCTAAAGCCTGCAATGGCACTGAGTATGTATCTCTCAATAATCACCCTAAATGTAAATGGACTGAATGCACCAATCAAAAGACATAGAGTAATAGAATGGATAAAAAAGCAAGACCCATCTATATGCTGCTTACAGGAGACTCACCTCAAGCCCAAAGACATGCACAGACTAAAAGTCAAGGGATGGAAAAAGACATTTCATGCAAACAACAGGGAGAGAAAAGCAGGTGTTGTAGTACTAGTATCAGACAAAATAGACTTCAAAACAAAGAAAGTAACAAGAGATAAAGAAGGACATTACATAATGATAAAGGGGTCAGTCCAACAAGAGGATATAACCATTATAAATATATATGCACCCAATACAGGAGCACCAACATATGTGTAACAAATACTAGCAGAACTAAAGGAGGGAATATAA